GCAGCAATATTTAATGTATTTCACTCTTGAAATGCAGCTCTAATTTGAAATGAACCGAACAGAGCATTAATTATAAAGTGGCTTTTTATTTAAAGGATGCCTAAAGCTAAAAGAATAATTTTCTATTTGAGAATAATTATCTATTATTATATTTGAGAATAATTTTCTATTTATTTTCTATTTATTATTTCTATTAAGTATAGGAAGAAGCTCTGTAAATTGGAAAGGAATATTGTGTAATTTTGATATTAATAATATAATAAACTTTGATCTTAATTTTTGTAATCATTAACCAAATAAAATCAAATTACCTTAAAATTTCTTTCTGATGTAATTAAAAAAAACTTGTGAAAATATTTTATTCAAATTACATTCAAAGTATATAATTTAATTCTGTTCAGAATTAAACCTTGTTTAAAAACATTTTCTTTCTACATACTTACAACTCTAAAGTATTATAAAAAAAGAAATTTACAGTATAATTACAAAATGTTTACCTCTGATCATGTCAAAACCTATTGATTTTAATAATTAAACAAAATTCTCCATCTATTATTTTTCCCTAACTGGGCCATATATTTTTCTCAGTATTTTTCTCTCAAAGATTAGAAGTTTTTTCTTTATCTGTTTTTGTTAATGGCTAGCATTCACTGTCATACAATATAATAACGTCTAATAAAAGTTGAATAAAGGTTTATTTTTGTCTTGAAGTTTAATAATTTAGACACTAATAAATTCTTTAAACCATCAAAACATCTATTAGCTCTAAATAATGCATTGAGAATTTCAATTTTTATATTGCTATCGAGAGATGATAGTACCAAGATACATAAACCGAGAAATGCCGTCAAAAGTATTAGCTCTAAATAATGTATTGAGAATTTCAAGTTTTATATTGTTATCGAGAGATGATAGTACCGAGATATATAAACTGAGAAAAAATGAAAGTATAAGAATTTATTCGCAGTGGGAGAAGATTATGTACTCTTCTAATTACTGCCATAAATTTTTTTAACATTCATAAAACCGTCTGGTCCTGCAGCCCTGTTTTTATTAAGACTTTCAATAGCTTTCTACACGTCACATAAGGATGGTGCATCAGGTTTCTGAGTTTGATCATTTTCAACAACATTCAACTCGACAGAGCAAACAGCACGTTATAAACAGCACCTTATAAACGTTTTTCTACTGGAGTTGATGTATTTGGTAAATGGATAGCACATCCTACCATTTTAAAAGTATTTCTGATTTCTGAAGCTGATATCAAGATGTAACATAATATAGCTAGTATAATAAAGATGTACCATAAATGTATATGTAAATAACTTAGGTAATATATTTGGATATCAAAAACTTCAACTATGATATATGATAAATATTATATGTAAGTTTAAGCACATATTTATTCCCATGAAATGTAGTTCATATAAAAATATTTTATGTAATAAAGAACTGTCATCCAGCTTATGCCTGTATAATTTTGCATTACATAGCATATTTATTATCACAGGGGCCAGATCTTGCAAGCATTCAAGCCTGCACCTCCTATTCACTAACACTAACCTCTCTGAAAATGAAACTAAATCCAAGATGTCAGACATAGGCAGTGGACTTTTTTTTAAACCAAGGGCATCTTTGTCGCTTGCCTCATCATTTAGGAACATGAGCATAGGCCGCAGTAATGTCAGGGGCGTAGCTAGAGGGGGGCATCTGTTCCCGGGCGCCAAATTGATGTTACGACATTTTAGAATTAAATGTTTTCCATCCTTGGCAAGCAGTAGGGGGCGCGAAACCTTCAGTTGTCCCTGGACGCTGAAAACCTAGCTACGACTCTGAGTAATGTTATTTTTATTTTTCCAGGCAAGAGGTGACCTCTTTCAATGTGAATTATTTTTGAAAACCATGGACACTGCTTTCAAATTTCACATATTGGTACAAAAAAGTACAGTACTTCATTCTTATATTATGGCTAATTCATTAGCTGGGTAAAGTTTGTTAGACAACAGAAATATAATACAAATATTTTCCACACTGAAGTCTTCAAATTATTAATCCAATATTTTTTTTTAAATCCCATTGTCCTAAATTTTAGATTTATAGCTTCAAAAATGCAATTATTTTGATATTGCTGGTTGCAAGGGTTTAAAGCTTTACTGTTGAGTTGGTCAGGATGGAAATTGATGTTCTTTTTACAAGAATCTTGTAAAATTTCACAAATCGGTAGCAGATTTCTTATAGACAAATATAATACTATTGATTTAATTTGAGCTTCATGTTCTTTTCCACAAGAATAACATGACACAGTATCCAGAGGCAACTGATCTTTGTTATAATTAATGATAACATATCATGATTAGTAATTTGTTATCTGAAATTCTGCAAGTTTTGTAGGGGTGGACGATCCTTCTTCAGGAGGATTTATAATATTTGCAGGCACATGTAGCATCTTCATGAGGTCAGAAATTTGGCATCATGAACCGTATAAGAGATAGACTAACCCAGTGGGCGGAGCGTGCGTCTCTTACATGTCCGCAAGAAAGAGAAGGAACGATCTGACTTACTTTAACACTGAAACCTATGGGGTTTGCATCACATAACTGTTTTTAATTATTAAATGTGATACGTTGTATAAGTGATGAGATTATGAAAGTCACAGTTTTTGCAAATAAGATTTAATATAGCTTATTAAAGCACTTTTTATTGCATTTTGCACATTTTTTCATACGTAATTCTTGTACAAACTTTACTTTGGTAAAACGATAAAAATTCTAAATGCAAAACTTATGAACTTATTTCTGTGTACAAATAAAGTAAAATTAAATAATATTGATAGCACATGATGCTTTGAAACAAATAAGGTAAAATTAAACAAGATCTGATAGTTTTTGATTTTATGAGTATTTCAGGTAGTAGTTTTTAAAATTATTATAGCATAACAAGACGATCATTTATTTGATTATATGATCATTAATTATTAACATTACAAGATGATTATTTATTTTAGTACTTCATAATATTCGGAGCATAAACTTTTCTTAGTGTAACAAGGGGGAAAAAAAAGATAAACTCGGATTTTATTTTATATTACATCCAAAGGAGCGTTTTTGTAATGTTTTATGTGTTGTAGAGACATTAGGTATATTTTTCGTAGCAGGAAAAATGAAAAATAGCAACCGCCTTCGCCAGGAATCGAACTACGGACCTCTGGAATACCGGCCCAGCGTGCAGAATCATGAAGGCATGCTAAGAAAGTGGGAGAAATACCTTATAGTATTACCTTTATTTATTAAATATCATGTTCTTCGCAAGTAAACCACATAAAATTCAATTCAAGAGCAATATCTCAAAATATTTGAAAATGGCATATCTTTAGAATTTCCACGCTGGAGATAAAAATGTTATTTTCTGTGCAGGGTTTGCTATTGCTGTCTTTGAACTAGTTGAGTTTGCTAATCAAAACTTTGTTAAAGTTACAAAATATGAAATGGATTAAAACCAATTCGAAATTAGACCAGGTGCTTATGTTTGGGCAGACGATTACGTTATTCAAAATTTGATGGCTCTAAATTCTGTCGTTTTTTCACTGTGCAAGAAACATACATGCATTCATGCAGATTCTTCGTTATTTAATTTCTTTAAATATAATACAGAGCGATAATATTTGGTGGCCACAGTTTGCAAAGTGAAACGGACATTTATAGTGAAACAAAGCAAAATGCCGTTTCAAAGCTAATAGCCTTTCTGAGCTGCTGCCCTTTTGGGCTAATAAAAGAAATTCACAATAAATAAGAAAACTTATGCAGAACTAGAAATAAATTTAAAAAAATAATCACTATAATATACTAGCACAAGTTAATTATTGCAGTTAAATACAATTTTTAACATTAGAATAAATGCATAAAAATTATTAAAATGTTTATCACTATGATGTATTATGAAATATTATTGAAACAAAACTCCTTTGTAGAATATCATGCTATAATATTCACCTATAATTTTAAAAAAGCACTACAATTAAGAATTTTAAACAAAAACTTTCAAAAATCCATTTTTTTGTATTGTAGTATTTTTTCTTATTTACACCAATAAAAAAGCATAAAAATTGTAAGAGAAAATTGTTTGTTTGAATTTTTCTATTAGTTCAGATTTAAAATATTATTTTTTAAAAGAAGCAGATACAAATTTCCCATGTTGCTGTATATTCATATAATGAGAAATAAAGTAAAATTATTATATTTTGGAATCGTAAATTTCTGAAAATATATTCATGTCTATAAATCTGAATTACTTCTTAACCAGGCAAGCCATAAGCAAATGGTACATAAAATATGATACATTATTTAAGTAACTGGTTTTATTTCATTTCACTGATGAGATTACTTATGAAAATTTTAAAAGATACGTGAATTTACTACAGAAGTATAAGCTATCTACTAAACATAATACTAAACATAATAATTAAAATCAATATATATATATTAATATATTGATTTTAATTATGACATTATGTTGTTAATAATTAATATGTTGTTAATATGTCACTAAAATATTATAGCCATTATAATTCAGGAGGACCTACAACTGTAATTTTTAAATGTTGAAAATATGGAATTTTTTTTTCACTTTCATATTAATAAGCACTTTTCTTAAATTTCAAATATTTATATAAAGCAAAAAGCAGCAGAACACATACATGTAAAAACTAGAATATTTGTTAGAACATTTACAGAAATTTTGTCATTTTTTATTTTCATATCTTGGATATTGAATTAGGCCTAATGCAGTATCCTGAGCTTCTACCGCTGTCAGCTTTGGAACATAAGTTGCTTTCCTTTTTCTCTTCGTTGAAAACAATCTTCTTTGAGTGTCAATATTTTTATTTGAAGGTATATTTTTTGGCATATCAGATGGATTTTTATTTAAACGTATTGCACCTAATTTTGCTTTTAATGATATAATATTTTTTTTGAAGCAATTCATATTCTTCTGATGAAGAAAGCGAGGCAATTAGCATTGCATATTCTTTTTGCAGATTATCTTTAAGTTTCGATGGTGATACACATGATTGTTTATTTTTTTTAAATCCTTCAAGCAAAATATCAGATTCTTCATAAGCTAAATCAATTTGAAAAGAATGCTCATGATTATTATCTTCATTTGATTCTGGAAGTTTACTTTTATTTTTTAAACAAACTGAATGAATATGCTTACACATATTCCAGCGGATTGCAGAATCAACACAACTGCAAGTATATCTATGAATACAAGCATTGCATTCTTTGCATAATAGCGGACAGTCGCATTCTTTTGTTATCTCCTGTACATGATACAATTCTGTATTTTTGGAAGAAGATATTACCCACCCATCCTCCTGCTCCAAAATTTCTGCTTTTAAGAGCATGCTTGCTTTATGCCTTTTCCTCAGTTCCTTTAGTTTACTAGTTAGTTTGCCTTTTGTGAAGAATGATCAGTCTGTCTATTAGTTTGTCCCTGACAAACTTCATTATAGCATGCACTGCTTTGTCGAGCCTTTTGACATTTTTGCCATGCAAATATATATATTTAAGTGTTCTGTGCATGCGCTCTATGTGCATATTTGTGTTTAATCCACTGTGCAATCGGTAGCAATATGCCCAAGAATTTGTATTGTTTCCATAATTGTTTCTGAAATAAACTGCAAAATCTTGTGTATCTTTGTCTTCAGAAAATTTTTTAATTGCACTTCCTATCATTATTTTAAAAGTGTGGATATCACACTCTTGCAATAGTGTTCTTAGAATTTTATACGCTTCAATTTGTTTTTCTTTTCCATTTATTTTTTTTTTAAGTTATTCCTCCATGCCCTGTCTACGTGCCATGTACAATACAAACGCATTTCAGGCACATTCATTTGTCTGACCCATGCATTAAAAAAGCATTCTGCCATGTCAGACATAAATACTTTAGGTGTTAATTGCCCTACTTTATCCTTCAGATGTGCAAAGAACACTGACAAAACTTCCTGGTCAGTTCTGTTCGTAATAAAAAATGCACAGGGAAAGCCCTGACGCAAATCATCCAGTACGAGCAGTGTGATTAGTTCAAATCCATAACTGTTCAACCCATGGGTGCCATCTATACATATACAGTCTGCTCCAAACTTCTGTAGTAAGTGCCTCTGGGAGTCATTCATTATAATTAATGCAAAATCATCATTTTTAAACTCGGGATAATTTTCTAAAATTTTATTTTGAGGCTTGTAAAATAGAATACAGTTGTTGTCCTCGCTCGCCATTTCATTCACCCAGGCTTCTACACTTACACAATCATTTTTATGCCTTACAGCATTTGATTGCAGATTATAAGAATTTTCAATGTTCCATAAGTCTTTCTTTGTCAAAAGATGCAACCTCTCAAGCCCTGTATCAGATAAAGAATCCCGAATTTCATCTAAAATTGCGTCGAAAGGGACTTTTCCAGCAATTTTAGTTGCTAATAATTGTCGTTCTGATTTTGAAAGAGGCAGATGACCTATATCATTTTTGTGACCTACGTGGGTTTTTCTGATATAAGCAGTGCACTTTCCATTATTAAATTGGCTTACTTTTATAGAGGCTGGGCAATAAGAGTTTATTTTATTACTCCCTTGTATTTTTAAATGTCGCATACCTTGCGCTTTAGATATATAATGTCCTGAACGATGGCATCCAAAATAAATATACTTTACGTGCAATTGGTCATGCTCCTTTGTAAATTTAACAAATTTAGATTTTGTTTCTCTTTCAAAACTCTCCTTCCACAGCATGAAATCCTCAAACGTAGAGAATTCTCTCTCTTCTTTTTCCATGGGTATTTCATGTTCCATTTGTAAGTGTAGAGTAAAATTTTTCTTTGAAAAATTTTCATTACATAATGGGCATTTATATAAGTTTTTACGCCGAATGCTTAAGGGCAGCGAATGCACTCTCCGCTTGTGAAACAGCAAATTTTTGTTATTATTAAATTGACGAGTACATAAACTGCATTTGAATGTAAGAACTTTCTTTTTAAGCATTGTTTGTTGTGGCATATGGAATTTTATTCGGTGACGTTTGAGATTGCTGCTATTAGCGAAACATTTTTTGCAATCAGGGCAGTTAAAGTTTTTTTGAACTTATTGTGGATTTTGTAGCCAATATATTTGAAATCGAATTACCATTAAAAATCTCATGCTTTTTATAATCTGAACTCGATCCTTCTGCAGCAGAAATGTGTTCTTTATTGCAATGTATGTTCTTCAAATGACGCTTCAAATTGCTGGCATTTGAAAAACACTTTTTGCATACGGAACAGCTGAAAGATTTTGAAATTGTTTTCTGAAAGATGTTATCGCTCGTATTCAAAGCGGAACTGTGAATTTCAGATGCAATGTCTAGTTGATCATGGGTACCATCATCTAGCTCGTTTAAACTGGTATTACATTTTCTAATATTCTGAATCAATTGATCAGAATATTCCGAAGTATTTGGCCCTGAAAAGGGCCTTTTATTTAAAAATTCTTCACTCATTATAAATACGTGAAAGAGATATAATAAGGATAAAGCGCACGAAATCAAATAACAGGAATTATAAACAAATTTCAGCGTCAGAGAAAAACGTCATATGATGCGCAAAAGTGAATGCGCATAAGAAATGAGGATCAGATCACGATCCCAAAAGTTGCCTTCTCTCCGTAGACGCTAGTTAAAATGAATATCGTTTAAAATTTCTTTAACCACTTGCGCTAAAAAGACGTGCCACGCACGTCAAGATGCTTTTGTCTCAAACCGCGAGCGACGTGAACACCACGTCGATAAGCATTTATCGCAAAAATGAAAATAACGTGGTGCACACGTCGCCTAACAACGAGATTGTTTATTTCTCGAGTTACAGCTCTGGATTGCACTCGCAGATGCGGAGCGGCGTAAATGAGACACTTTACCGCTTGTTATATTGTAGCGCACGGCGCCGCAACCGTGAAGTTTAGTCTTAGCGCAAGTGGTTAAACTCTAAAGGAAAATAAAATATTTTTTGGCGCAAGTAAATTAATTCATGGATTAGTTATTTTCAGAGAAAAAAAAAAAACTACGAAAATCCGTTTTTAAAATTATTGCGAAAAATCCAAGAAGAAAACGTCCTTTGATAAAACGTTTCTTCTTGGATTTTTCGCAATAATTTAAAAATGGATTTTCGTAGTTTTCTTTTTGTCAAAGAGCGTTTCTTCTTAACACGTGTTTCTCAATTTCCTGTACACATCGCGGAGAGGGAAATTCTGGACCGCCAGGTTCCGTCGCCAAATCCCTTGGCAAATTTTCCCTCCGCATTCTAGCGGCGTAATAGCATTTTACTTGTATGGAACCTTTCTTCTTTACATAGACGTTCTTTGGTTAGAATACCTCCATAATGGGATTTAACCTGGCGTACACACATTTGGTGTCTTGATGCGCAGTAAACGGGTCATTTTGGTCTTGGCGACAATTTTCAAAATCGTGCCAAAGCCTTACCGTATACTAGAATTTTACCGCAAAATCTTTTTAAACCCTTTTTTTTTTTTTTTTTTTTTCTTTTTATTAAATACCTTGCCATTTTGCAATAAAATAAAAAAATAGTAATCAGTCATCTAGGCTAGCCATGTAATATAACTATATTCGCTAAAATATAGATGATTATTCTAATTCAATTTTTAAGTAATTATCTTTTTTTATGTTATTCATACAATTTAATGTTGCTTCTTCTTCCCTCTAAATTTATTTATTATTAGTAAATAATATTTCAAAATTTCAGGAAATTTTCTCTGGCATAATCCTGAAATTAATTATAGCAGTATGATGACATACCATCACGAAATTTAATGCACATATTTTTTCCTTATGTATCTGCAAAATAAATATAAAATACCTCAATTTATTAAAATAGATTTCTTTCTTTCGTTTAGCTGCAGAATGTCTGCAAAAAAAGCCTTATTTTATTCCAGATTGGGAAGATTCTAATCTCAATCTTCAGTGGAGAAAACAACAACTATTATAATTATATTTGTGTTTTCAAGTGTTAAGGTTTTAAGAGCATACCTGACGTAAATTAAATTTACCTAAAATCTAACCTAACTATTTAGCATTGCATTGTGATTTATAAGAACCGGATTAGCCTCGTGTTGAACTGGTGATGATCATGAGTAATAATTAAATAAAACATACATTTGTTATCCAATATATATATCTTAAATTTTATTAAGTTCTTAAGTGGAAAACTAAACAAAATTATCAAACAAAGTATACCAAGAATAATTAAGAAAAAATGTCCTCTGGGATTTATTGAATAATTAAGTGAATTTGCTACACAATACAAGTAATACCATAATTAATTTACCTCTTAGCACAGCCAACGTACATTACGTGGATAGACTGGAATTTTCTTGAAACGCACCTGGAAAACCTGGAAAAGTCAGGGAATTTCATTCTCCTGTTTGAGTGGCAACCCTGAAAATTGCAAAATAAAACACATCTTTTAAAACAACATAGTGTTTTGTTTCACTGCTGTCCTGTTATCCAACTGAGGTAACAGTATCCTGCCTGTAATGTCTTAAACATTTGAATTATTATTAGCATATTTGTCATGAGATTTTATAGCTGTTTCGTTTCAGAAGTACTATATTCCTTGTTTACATGAAACATTTATGCTAATTATTAAAATGCTAATTATTCTTTGAAATTTGTTTTATTTTATAGTGAAGTAACTGGTCCTTCACTGGGAGGGATTCTGTCTGATTTTTTTACCTTTCCTGAAGCTTCTACTCTTATGGCTCTTTGTACCTTAGCTGCGGTTAGTTACATTTTTAATGTGTTATTATTGATTGCCTGTATAAAAAATGCCTGTATAACTCATGCTGAAAAAGCATATGAGTTATCCTTTAAATACCAATAATTTAATACGTGTGGCACTATGCATTTCAGACAAAATTGTTCAGTATTATTTTAGCTAAGTACGATTTTTTTTTTCCTATAGACTAAAATATCTAGAATTTAAATTGTTTTTCTGAAAAGCTTGATGAAATCTATAATGAAATTATATTAGAACTTTATAAAGTTTTGTAAATGTATGATGAATATCACTTAGAGCTTGTTCTGCCTTTCTTCCTGAAATGTTATGTAATATAAACTGTGTGATAGATTGCTGTGTTAATTATGTTATGTGTGAAAAAGATTTCTGAATTAATAGTTTTTTTATCATGTATAATTTATATGATACAAGATGCGAGGTATTGTTTTGCTAAGGGAATACTTATTAAAAAGGTGAAAGTGTTTATAATTTTGTGTATATCTATTTTTAATTTGTTTTGTATTTGTTTTTGTACTTATTTAGTGATTTACTTTTTGTTTGATAAATGCATTTAATGGATTACTGGAAATAAAATTACTAAAAGGGCGATTAAGTGACATCAATGTTAGGTAGAAAAAATAATAACATTAAAATTACTTTTTACTTTTAAACTAACTGTCACTTAACTTGTCTTTCTGGTGCCGCAACAGATAAGTCAGTAAACAAAAATAAAAAAAAATAAAATTAAATAAAAAAATTAGAAAGGAACTACTACACTCAACTAAGCACTCTGATAATAATAAAAAAAATCTTAATTCTTTAATTTTTTAGTGAATAAAAAACTACTTTAATATAAACTAAATTCACTTAACACCAGAGAAAAAATAAAGTTTAACATATTATCTCTTAGTCAATAAAGAAAGGATGATATGCTGCCTGGTGTTTAGGTAGAAACAAAGATTATTTTTCAAAGCAAAAGTAAAAATGCACTTCCGCAAACAAATCATCAAACTACTATCTCTGTCTAAAATAAGCTATTTCAGCTCTCCTGGAAACACATAAATTTCAATACAATTTTAAAGATAGCCATAAACCCTATACATTTAAAATACAACACCAAACTCTTCAGAACACCAGGGAAAGATGCATCTCATGCTAAAAAAATTTAATCACCAGTTCAAATAAATTAAGTAAGCTGATTGTCACAAGACACTTAAAATTTAATTTTTCTACTCCCACAATTTAATTTTTCTATTCCCACCTAGGTTTGAATTGAAATAACCATGTTTTCCGAAAAAATCACATGGGTGACCTACAGTAGACCACAGATAAAAACCTAAATGAAACATATAATAATTAATTCAATAAACACATTTATTAAATATTCCAAACATTATAATTTTAGATAGCTAGCCAGGCTGCCCCTACAAATATTATCCACAAATTTATTCATAATTTCTCATTTGATCGCTTATCTCTCATTATAAATATGAATACTGCAAATCAATAATTAATAATTCACATTTAGAATATGAAACAATTTATCCTCGGACATTTAATAATCAATTAAATTACAGGTTATAATACTGAAATTACAATAACTTCAGTGAAAATTTCTTTTCAGAAATATTTATTTTATGACATATCGAAATCTAATAAACATGACCATTAAACATTTTAAAAAAATTCACTCCCTCTATTTAGACAAAACACTAGTAGGAAAAAACAAAATAAGAGAAAGCAAAAATTCACTCATGGAATCCACGTGCACAAGTCTGAGGGACTTGGGGGGGGGCTGCCTGCATCTAGTCAAAAATCGTCGAAACAATAATGGCCAAAACTTCATCATTGTCAGGAAAACCAATACTGAAGTCTGTTCAAGGCACAACGGGAATTTTTTCATAGTTCTACCACTATACTCTGTCTATTAGCATTTTAACTCTAAAATCAGCCTTCCCTTTTATTTCGAAGTTCTTCTGAGGATAACAGCAGGAGACAGACAACAGGAGACAACAGACCTTGGCAGACATCAGGAGATGACGACAGTGGCAGACATCAGGAGATAACGACTACACTCTTTCCATATTTTCGAAAGTAGTCTGGAACTTCAGCATGAGCAATTCGAACTCAATTCTAAAATTAAAAATTAGCCAGTCTTAAACAAAACTGGAATCCTCTCTAGCCAAGTAGAACAGAGGTGATAAACAACTACCAACATTGGAAAAAATTCAGACCTCTCTTCTAGGATGACATACCCTTATTCCTGCGCAACCACAGGAATGTTTTCAGTCGTGATTCAGTTAAACGTGTGGCACCAGTAGGTAATAAACAAATCACACAGTTCTCTTCTTCAGAAAGGCCGAAAATACTGTCTCGCCTGCGAACAGTAAACACGTGTTCAACCCCATTTCCCGGAAAAGAGAAGGGGTAGAAAATGTAGCTGGCCGCAAAGTGACCGTTCTGTGAGAATGGAAGTAAAAACTTGCACCTTTTAGCTGTATCAAACTTTTCTGCCAAACTTAAAAGAGCTTTGCCGTAATCGAACAAAAAGTTTAAGCAATACTAAATTAAAAATTAATTCTCTGATAAAAACATTACAAATTCATTATTCACAGTAAAATAATGTAATCACTAAGAATACCCCATTCACAGTAAAATAATACATAATAATTGTACACAACAAAAATAATACATAACAAAATAACACATCATTCATCCAAAGATGTTATTGCTTATTTTATTGTATATGGTCTTCTGCTGATGTTATTCTCTACCAGTACCTTCCATTAGTTGAAATAATAAATGGAGCTTGATACTGTAAAGAAATGCATGGCAAATTGTAATTTTAGCAGACAGCACATTTGAATAGACATGAAATCTTGTTTCATGATAGCATTCAACTACATATTGCTTTGGTAACCAACAAGGATAACAACAATTTATGATAATAAATTGTTCCTCATCTTCCATGCTCTCCTGACATTTCTGTTACAGATTACCATTTTTCTCATACTTGAGCCTTTTTTTTTTTTTTTTTTTTTTTTTTTTTTATCTAAGAAGTAATTTGCTGCATGGCAGTTTAATGGGTAATGGAAAACTTCAATCACTTTCAGAGATGCTGGTCTACATAAGCATGGTGAAAATTACCTTGCCACATGTTGGCAGCACTGTGCTGATGGTGTTGGAGGTTATTTTGATTAAGCAGATATTGCTCTCCTTTTTATTGCCTTCTTCAGTCGTCATTAAAATCGATCATTTCATTTACAACAACCCAATGTATGTGCATTTTGTATGGAAATTTTATGTTTGTTTATGGATATTTTGCGACCACTTATTTGTTTTTATTTCATGTATTATTTTACTAAAATTTTAATGAGTTGATTGACATTGTATTTGTAAGCATAGATCAATTAAAATCGGAGGTAATGGGTAAAAACACCCCTACTGAATCTTGGCAATATTTGGCCATATTTCTTCAACTTTGTAAAATTCAAGAAAAGGAAGGCAGAGTAATAAATGTGCTTACTTTCGTTCTGATGAATCATGTAGACACAGAAAGCTTCATTGTAGTCAGAGTTCAATTCAGAATCATTTAGATCAAGATTTGTTATTTATATTTGTGAAACTGTCTTACTGATATAAATTAGGTTATTTTAATCTTCTTTATGCTTTTGTTTCTTTATATAAACTGATATAATATTTAGCATTGATTTTGCTCTTATATTTTATTTCTTGTATTAAATACAAATTTCATTTCAAATTTTAGTTTCTGGTTGCTTTGGTGGCTTGGTGGAATCCTTGTGAATGTTTTGGGCCTTACAGCCTTATTGAGGATGCTGAAGAAAAGTTGGCATCATCGGCTGAGAATTCTGAAGAGACTGATCGCGTTCCTTCTCGCGAGCAAACACCACTTCAGGATGGAAACGTTCACACTTACGGCAGCTTGTGGGAAGATAAGAAAAATCCTGTTGTATAAGTAAGTTACTTTAGAAAAATTAAAAGCTTTTAATATCTTCACTGAAATAATGGCTTTCAATTTTTTACCTCAATGTATTAAATATCTACAAAACTAAGCTAATATTTTGAATAAATCTGAGCAGTTGTTGGATATTAGTGTGATGTTCAGATATACTTGAAAGATGCATTTTTCAAATATATCAAATATATCTTTAAATATATTTGAAAGAAAGCATCTTTTAAATACACTTGAGAATCATAACAAAAATTCTTCTCTTTGCGTGATGAAAAATAAATATAAATATTATAATAAATATAAATATTTATTACTTTACTGTAACTGATTTATGATGTGCAGTCCACAATTTAAATCCCTACTGCTTTAATCTTTCTGCAGTATTGCAGTATTTTAAATAGTCTGTCATCCTTTTCTCTGTACAGAGCTTGAGTAAACCTACCATATTTTGAAAAGTTTCCATCATAAACAGTTCAAGTTTTAAAAATATACTTGGAGGTTAATGACTTTTAAAACTTCTTTCTATTTATCTAACTATTGAGATGAGTATGTTAGATTTTGGAACTTTCCTCCAAATACATTTTAATCTCATATTCTCTACATTAAATTACTGCTAAAGCTCCATTATATCAAGGATTTCTAGCAAATTTAATTCCTGCCTGTACCTGGCAATGCCATATAGCAAACATTAACTTAAATGATGAGAAGATGTAGATTAAATTATTACATAACCATCCCCCCCCCCCGGAAAAGGATTTCAAGACAGAAAGATGGTAGAGGGACCAAAGTTTACTGAAGAAAAGCACCTTATTAAGTTTTGATTTTCCCCTGCCTGTAGACAGCATTACATGCATGAATATGTATATGGACTCCTGATCTAAAAGATCAATAATCTATGTGCAAATGATTGTGGGATTATATTGGATAAGTCAAAATGAGGTAAGAAATTTTGATTATTATTATTATAGGAACAGCATTTCTGAAATGGCCTATGCAATATTTATATTTATATTTATGAGAAGCTTATAAATAGCAGTTTATGCATGCTGTAAGGCAGGGGTTCTCAGTGGGGCTCAATACCAACCATTGTCAATAGCAACACCCGTGGTGGGCAATAATGAAATATGCACAGGCTATAGGCTTAATCAAGCTCTCATTATTTATAAATTAACATTTATCTCTAAAATTAATAATTACTTGTTTGTTGATATAAAGCTACATCATGTAGTAAAAGAGGAATCATATAAAATAAATATAAGGGAAAAAATGTGCAAAAATGATTTAATATAGCTTAAAAAACAATATTTTTTCAGGATTCGTACGGTCCTTAAGAGTCCTTAAAAGTCCTTAATTTTGGCCAAAATCAGCAGAAGGTCCTTAATTTTAATTATCTGAAATTTCTGTCTGTTTTTACAACTACCATTTTGAGTGTGAATTAGCATTTTGGAGGAATATTTTTGGCGATTCACTGACGTATATATGGTTATCTTTTGAATGTGTTCATGAGTTATGAGTTATAATTTGTTTCTATTTCTAATATAAATGATAGGATACTCGCGTTTCTAAGCAAGAAGTGAAACACAAGCATTTTGAAAGTAATTTTTTCTAATAAACAGCTCTTAAACAACTTTTCGCTTCTGGGGATGTGAATTCTTTTATTAAAACGGTTCTAAATTTGGCGACTTTTCAACATTTTGGTGATTTTAAGATCAGTTTCTATAAAAACTTTTTAATTCTGAGATCTGAGAATTTTTCGACAATTTTTTTTAAAAACATCGTAACATTGGTAAATTTCAGTAAAATAATGGTAATATATTGAAATTATATTTAAAAAATAACATTAAAATAAAACACTTTTATTTTTCACTGTCATATTATTAAGTTTCATTTTGGCAACTTATTATACAATATTTTGAATCTGAAAAATAAACAAGGTATAATGCTATAAAGCACAATTTAAGAAACAGCTCTTAGCAAAAGCAAAATTAGCTATGTAATTAATTAAAAATGTCTTCTTTTTAATTTTTTCATAGTAAGAGTTTTTCCCATGTAATTATCTCAGAATATTCAAAATTCTCAAAATGTGCATCAGTTTTCTCTATAAAATTAATTTTATACTTTCCCCTACTTTTTTTTCCCAAAATATTTCTGGCTTTTTTCTGTTACAGAAATGCTAGGAATAATTTTTCTTTAGGATTTTAGACATTGCAGCTCAAAAAAGTTTAGAAAGATTTGAAGGCAAGATTTATAGACCCATGATTCTAGAAGATTCGATAAATATGTGACAAAATGAAAAATGTCTCCATGTTATCAACACGTAATGGATGTATTTTGCAGAAAGTTTGCAATGAATTTCTTACTTTTTGGAGAATGTCTGGAAGAACAATGAAAACATAATATTTGAGTGTTTTACTTCTGATACTAGAATCTTAGCATGTTTATCTTACTTTTATTTTCTCCCCTTTTTACTAGACACAAACAAGCAGGGAAAATATCAAAATGCTTCTAATCTTATCACATATGGGCAGGCATTATAGAAAGGGATTTTTTTTAATTAATAAAGAAATTGAAAACTTACAATTTAAAAGATTCATCTAATATGTCAATGCATCATACACATAGGCATTTTCCCACATGATGCAATTTCTGTGGATCCTAAATTCTGCTGCCTAGTGCCTTTCTAAATTCTGCTGCTTAGTGCCTTTCTAAATTCTGCTTCCAATGCCTGCTCTAAATTCTAAAATTTTTCCATTTCTATATTTTGTTGTTCAGTGTGTCACTAAATTCTAAAAATTCTGCCACATCAGCTCTGTAAACAGCCTTTACCATATATATTTCATATTTCTTCTGAATGTTCATATTAAAGAAATTAGCCATGTTTTCTGTACATTCTAAATGCATTTAGTGTTTTTTAGAATAACAGAAATCCTTAATTAAATCCAAAAATTCTAAAATGAAAAGGAAACATGTTGGAGAAAGAAACTGAATATATAAAGAAAATTATTCTTCAAAGATATGTGCAGTTATTATTATGTAAATTACTCAATTGTTTATGATTTCAGCCTTTACTATAATTTCCCACTTCTATTTCCTCATATGATAGAGTTACTGAGCCAGATTAAATTAAACTTAAATTATATAATCTTTGACCACTAGGCCACATTATTAGTTTGAATATGACTGCTCTTGTTTAATTACATCGCCATGAGCTGTAATTGATTTTGTTAGCATCAGAACATGCCTTTATGTTCTAAGTTCTTTTTAAATAAGAGGATTATTTAAACCTTTTTCTGATATTGTAGTTACTTTCATACATAGCGATAATATGCTTCACATCTGTCGGGGGGTTTGGACTATTTAACTTTTACCAGATCAAGTAAACTCTCATAGGTACATTGTGGAGAGATTGAGAAGTTAGGAGATAAAGCACGCAGAAACTAGCGAGAGCATGCATATTGAGACAAATCTCTAATTGTTAGAAAAGATGCTTAAAGAGAAGAACATTGATATAAACTATCCAAAATGTCTGGAATGGCTTCAAATTAAAATGACGGATGAATATTTTGTTGAGTGTTGTTATAAAACATAAATGTTTTGTAGCTTTTAATGGGTAATTATCTTAATATTGTTTAAGAATCAATGTCATAAATTACATGTATTTTCAACTGTGAAATTTTATTAGATTTTGATTTTAATAGGGCTTTTTTAACAAATATTCTTAAAAAATAAAATTTAATAGTGGTCATATAAATACATAATGACTAAGGTTATCAAACTACCTTTATAACTAACAGCTTACCCTTAAAAAGTATCTCTACATATTAAAGCGAGTTATTGTCTTTCATTAATACTCATTGTGGTCACAAGATAAAATACAAAAATGTAAAAATTCAAGTAAAGCTTTTTCTTTGCATCTGATGAGACTTAAAATGTTACAAAACAACTTATCACCTCTCATGCTTTAAAGGCTTATTGAAACCTTAAAGTATATTAACTGGGTTACAACCCCTGGAACTTTACACGAAGCTATTACACTAACTGCATCAAACAGAGTCTGACTAACTTTCAATGCTTGCCAACCTTGCCCACATCAGGCTTTTCAGGTTTGTTCTAATCAGCAGGTCTCTCTCTAGACAAGCAACAGCAGTGACAACATTCACTCTTTTGTTATGAATCGTACTGATTATGATCTTACTTCTTATTTTAACCTATGCTGTTCCTATGCTAAAATCTACTTACTATTTACTAAACCTCTAGATCAGTGTTTCTTAAACTGTGGGTTGTGACCCCCAAGAGGGTCATGAACCTGCAGCAGGGGGTCGCCAAAACTTTGAGCAGTTTTGATATTTCTTTAACTTATTATAATAATTTTACAATTACCAAATATTTGTATACAGTGTATCTGAATATAGGTAAAGATAAGATAATACAGACAAAGAAAAAAACAAAACATCTCAACGCCCTCTTTTTATAATATAAACGTTCATTTTCTTTGCTTTGCACGTGACGCTGTCTTTCTTCTGTTACTATTTAAAATTTTCACATGTTCTATGTATTAAATTAGAATTAAAGTTAATGACCTAAAACTGCAATAGTATATTACAGTACAAGTGAAAAATTGACAGTTTCACTCACTCGTGTGTCGGAATTGCGCAATACTTATGGGGTCCCACAAAATTTTTGTAAATATTATGGGGTCTTAGAGGGTCGCGAAAAAATCTCAGTGATAAAAGGGAGTCACGACTGAAAAAGGTTTAAGAAACCTTGCTCTAGACTGACCAAGTATGTGACAAAATGAGACACACACACCCAAAAAAAAAAAAAAAAAAAAAAAAAAAAAAAATCAACATAAAGCTAACCATTAGTAAAACGTAAATGTTAAAAATTATCTTCTTTCAAATATGACCAACTATTATGAGTGTAAAATATTTAATGCTACTTGATGAATTGCATAAAGTTTATTTTATTTTCAAATTTATTAATAATTATGTTAACTAATTCATATTTAGTAATAATGCATACTACTTAGGGATCTATTTTATTTTTAGGATGGTATTACAAAAGTGAAATTCAGGCATAGAAAATATTTTTAATTGAAGTTATTCAGCTCCCATTTGCTCATAGGTCCTTAAAAGTCCTTAATTTCTGTATGCCGAAATGTGTATGAGCCCTGTTTTTAAAATGTAAATTTTTTATATACGAGCTTAGCCCAAAAAATATGAAAAAGTACAACCCAAAAAATACAAAAGATGCAAAACCAATGACCCATAGCAAAAGCTATACCCATATTTTCACCCTGGCCTGCTGCTAAAGTTTTATAACCTTTTCCAGCAGTGTGATATCTCTTTGTCCAAAATTATTGTGGCTTTTTAATGTGCCTAACATTTGGATTGTTTACTGCTTTTTTTGCACAGGCAACTTTTAGTTATATATAGCATTCAGGAAGAACTTCATACTGTTTTAGAGCTTCATATCAAAGCAATAAATATTATCAAAGCTGAAGCTTTGAATAATGGTTGTGCAACATTTGTACTACTATGTGACCATGCTGATGAAAGTTAAATTTGCTTCTTCACACAGAGAACCTTAGCTCTCCAAGGGTAATTATTTGGAGTGTTTTATAGCCATTTATAATACTGTGACAGAAATTTTCGGGAAAGTTCACAACCCTATGGTGTGACACAATTAATAAAATTTAAGAAACCTATATTTGACATGATTGAAATGTATTCAAAGCCACAAAAAGCAAAGTGCACAGAAGAGATGCCAATCTCAATAAAGCTAGAACAATTTATAAAACTGGCTTAAACACGGACTATATTGATCTCGAGTCTAAAAAAAATTCCATTACTTTGACAATTTCTAGTGACTGTCGATTATTGAAAAGGATTTTATTTTCTCAGAAGATATGCTAGTATATACAAGCCACTTGTAAAATTAAAAAAAATAATAATAATAATGTCTGCTTTCAATACACTGAAAATTTGAATGTAGCAGCATGGCTCATAAAATTGCTGAACTGCAGTATATTTGATCTTCCTATTATGATGTAAAAAGAGTTGATTATATTATAATCATATTCACAACACATGGTTTTTTTTTTTTTTTTTTTTTTTTAAGTTTAGAAATATAAAAGTCATTCAAGAGAAATATTCCCAAGTAAACATTATTATTGATCTGACTTTATCAACTTTTCCCTTCCCTTGCTTGGTGGAAGCAGACTGTAGTCAAGTCAGTAATTTACTCAGGAAACAAGAAACAGATTTAATGTTTTTGGCTGAGGTTATCTAGCAATTAAGCAAAGTAAGTTTATGTTAACTGTTAAAAAATGCATCAGTACATCATGCACAGCAATTACATACACATACAGCCTTTGCATTAATTAAACTTTTGTGCAACTAAAATTATTTTGTTTCTGAAAACTTTATATTTTTAAAATTAAATTTAATAAACCTTCTTTTTTCTCAAAACTTTTGTTCATAACCTTAGTTTTATAAATTATATATGTGCAATTATCCCGCATCATAATTTTGTTGTATGCTGTATATAGTAGAGAAAAATGTAAGGAGGTCAACGAAGAACACCATTCTTTTAAAAGGGATCAATGCAGGAAAAGGGTTGGGAATCTCTGCTCTAGGGCATGAAATCTATTATAGAGGAAAGGCAATGAATAGCATGAAGTGATGTATCATGCTTTTTCTTCCTTTTCGAGCACCATGCCACAAAATCTTCAAGCATTTCATACATATCAAACATTCAGAAAAAAGTACAGAGCAAATTTTACTGCTGGTGCTTTCTATTTATATATGTTTCAACAAATTTTAATAGACCAACCATATGGAGGTGAAAATACTGATTGAAACTAATTATTCTTTTTCAAAACAGTAAGGCAGACTTAGCATTGTTGCAAGTTTTCATAGAAATGTGTTTTGCTTTCCGTACATTCATATATAACATGTGTAATTGATACAGGCTACTGTGGCCAACAATATGGGATCTTACAGATACTGGCTTGCATTCGGTGAAAAATTTGTTATTTGGAGCATTGATTGGCTAGAATATGGGAGTTAAAACTAGCATTTAAACTTTATTCAATATCATTTTAAAAACTTAACGTAATTAATATAATTGCTAAACGTGTATTTATTCTGTTCATTGATATTGGTACGAAATGTACAGGTGCGGTAAGATGTCTTCCCTTCAAAGCAGTTTTAAGGTTGCCATAAAATGGCAAAGGATGGCAGGGTTGCCACATTTGGTGACAAAATTGGCGATATGCCATGGACAAATGAAGAACCTTCTGGAATGAATTCTTACCAGTTTTGCCCAGCATGTTCTCGAACACAAGCCAAAAACTCTATAAACCCTGCTGGTCCGCAGTCAGTTAGTGTGTGTGTGCACCTCGTCTAGCGAGCTGATAGTCAGTCATTGAGCGAGTGTCTCGAAGTCTAGTGCCGAGTTGGTCGTCGAGTGCATTGTGAATTAGTGCATCGCCGAGTTTTGTCTTAGACTGTACTGAGTTGAGAGCTGTACTCTTGTGTATCGTCGAGTGCATCATGAGTTGTAGTGTAGAGAGTCTCGAGAGTACATGGAGTTCCGAGAATGACCTAGCAGAGTCGAGAGCTGTATTCTAGTGCTTTGCCGTGAAGCTGTCTCCACCGGGATAGTCTGATAACCTGAAGGCTGTGTCGCTGATCATGTCAGCATGTTTATAGTATTTCATTGATGACTGTAAAACATGTTTTGGAGCTGTCCTGACAATACTGGTAAATAAAGTGTGTTTTGTTACTTCATCAAGTGTCGTCGTTATTCACTCCAAATCTATGAACCCCATACGAACGTGAAGGAAGAAAATAACGGAACAACTGGTGTCAGGAAGAGAAAATGCAACAATATTTATGAGTTTTTAAAATAAGTATTTTCTTTTTAGGATGAAAAGTCATGCCAGTCATGACTAGCAGTACATCTGAGTGTTTTTATTAGTGTTTCTATAATATATGTCATTTCATCTTTAAATCATCATCTTCCTTTGTCAATGAGAATGTGAGAGTAAAATTGAGTTTAATAATAATATAAAATTTAGCATTTGGCAAGTACAAAATTTGACATTTGAGTTAAAATTTTCATTTATATTCAAAATATGGAGAATCCTTGTGTTTTTCTAGTTAAATTCATAAACTGACATCTATATAAATAGTTTATTTTATAAATATTTAATGTTGTATCATTAATGACATTTAATTTATTCAGAAGTGTGTTAATTGCTTTCATTTCAGATAGGTTTGAATGTCACCATGAAACTCTTGGACTGCCCTTTAGAACTTTTATTATATCAAAAGAAATTATTATTTATATAATAAATGTGAATAGTATCTTCCTATGCTCAATATTACTATTTTTAATGTACGTTTTTATATCATTCATTTGGTTCATATTTATTCCAAGTACATTATATGAAAGTATGTGTTTACAATATGAACTTCTTAAACATTTCTTTATGTTTAAAAATGTAAGTCCTAATAGTATTTTGATGTATAAATTGTTTAAATTTTAAGCTGTTTTGGTGTTTGTATAATTATGTTAGATCTTATTAAGTGACGCTGCATATTTTAATCAGTGTTATTGTACAAGTGTTAAAATTGGTTCTTTTTTCTAATATATGATGCCATAATATCTCAGCATTATAATTTTATTGTAGGAAATTTTAAATATGTAAATGATATTAGTTATTTAATAAAATATGCTTGAAAATGAATTGTTGATTATGATAAAATTATAGAATAAAAAAAAGTTAGTATCATGTAATGGATGAATTATTATTTCTTCTTTTATGGCCTGTTAATTTATATTCTTTTTGTTTTGGTTAGTGCACTATAAACACAGTGTTTCAGTTGATTAAGTGAAACACTGTGTTTATAGTGAGTTGATCAGATTATTATTAAATTAAGTGCTTTTCCCCCTTTCTCTTTTTTCTTTTTTATAAAACTTCTTGTTATTAGTAGCATTTAATCTAATTTCTGATTCTCTTTGTTAAGCCAGATTTTGAAAATTATTCAACCATTTCATACTTTTAATGATAACAAAAGACACTAATACAGCATCTGTAAAAGATGTATGTATATGACTATGATGTATGTGAAAGTTTATCTCTAAAATTTAAGATTATGTGTGTAAAAAATTGAACTTACCTAAGCTCATTTGTTACATGTACCAATTTTTAAAGATTATAATAGTAAGAAATTCCTTATTTTCTGCTCTGCATCATAACTATATATGGTGATTTATATTTATATTCATCATAACTATGTATGTTACATTTTCAGATTTTTCAATTTATACCTTTTTATACATGAATAAAAAATACAAACATTTTCAGGTCTTTTAAAAAATGGCATGTATATGTGGAAATTCATTTTAAAATCTTAAATCCAAATCATGATGTAATGTCAATATTCTCACTTATAGAAGTTATCAGGTTTAAATAACAAGGTATATTTTCATAAGAAATGGAACCTTGATCTATCATCGATAGGGGGATTTAAATAATAATTTCCTAAAACAGTACAGATATTTATGAGTATGTAAAAGTATGAAGAAACTAAAATATAACTTAAAAAAAGATTTTTCAGATGTATTGATGATGCAGTAGAATATTTTGCTAGTACAAATGTAAATGCTTATCAGACTGAACTCAGGAATTATTCCCTGAAGGCATATAAAATGTTATTAGTTTGTATGTACTCCCTCCACATTTCTCATATAACTTTTCAAGCAACAGTATTGTTGCTGAATGATTCTCAGACAGTATCTTGAGTTACTGATTGAGGTTTCTATGCTTCCATCTTGTAGTTATGTCTTTTTTATTCTTTTATTTGTGCATATTCTTCAATTCTGTGTGTATGTAAAGTTAAAACTTGTGGCTTTTTTTCCTGTACATTTAATGAAGTTAAAATATTCTTGAAAGTGTTCATTCTGTTGGTAAATGTTATTCTGATGATGCTTGTCTTCCTTTCTTCCCTTTCACTAATATTTTTCTTATCAAAAAACTTAGAATTCAGTGCTGTTAAATATAATTTTATGTAAGCTTTTATATGAATATTAAGGGTTTCTTTTAGCTACCTTTAATATTTAATTTGTCTATATATATTTTTTCATCTTATTACAAATAATCTTTATAAAGCCTGTTTCTAGATTTTGAAATTCATTATTTTGCATATTTTATTATAGAAATCACATTTTGAAGACATTTTTTAAACATTTTTGTGTAATTATCAAAATCTTAAAAGACAAATATTATATTTATTCCTTTTTGTTGTAAAGATGTGATAGCAGTATATGTGTATGTATTTAAATATGTTTATTTTTTCATCATTAATGTTTCTGTTATTAATAAATTCATTTTTCCTCAAAGATATTTATCTGCTTCAGTATATGAATTAAATTTATAGCTTATTAATGCTGTTATGTGTATTTTATAGCAGTTTCTTTTGCCTTAGAATAGATCATTTTCCTTCTCATATAAAAGAACATTTAAATATAGCATATAAAATAGAACATTTAAATATAACATATAAAATAGAACATTTAAATATAACATATAAAATATAACATTTTTCATTGAATATGTAAGTTTTTTCAGTTATATCATATTATAATAATAAGTGAATGATATATCAAGGTTCTATTTTAAAAAATAGTAAAAGTTTTCTGAAATAATTTTCTTTTTATAAATCCACAATTCATTTAAAGCTAGAGGTAATTTTTGTATAATTTAAGTAATGATTTTCAAGGCCAAAATAAAAATTAAGTACTTTCTTTCAAATTAATGTACTCCTTTCTAATGTTCATATTTTTTTTAATTTTTCAAGTGGCTGCACTCATAAATGTAAAATTTATCCTTGCTTGGGTTATTTATTGGTAGGCCATTAGTAATTAAATGGAAATAAATATTTAACATTGCTGCTATTTTTCTTCTTCTTGGGTAAATTTATGTGAGGTGAAAGCTGCTCCAAATTTTATGAGCACTGATATATGTGTTAAAGATTTTAAGAAAATAGTGTACTTAGAAACTGTGTGCAGTTATTTAAAAATATTCAAAAATATTAAGTAAATATCTTTTTTATACTTTGGTGTCAAATACTTACATATATACAAAGTTTTAGTTTTAATTAAATTCTGCTTTTATTTATGATTTCTAATCAACATGAACTCTTTATTTTAAGAAAATGTTTTATGTGAAATTTAGTTTTCTTTGGTAAAAACAGTGGCAATCCATTAGTAAATTGTTTAAAGAAAATGCATGAAACTGCCGTAATTGTTAACAATTTTTTTCTCAAGAATCGTATCATATGTAAATATTTTAACATGTATATTTTAAATAAATTGTAGATTATATGTGACCATACCAGGAAAAATCATCACATTGTGCATTTTTATATAATTTTCAGTGTCACAAACTACTGTTTGCAGCCTAAGAGTGTGTTACTTAAGTTATAAAAAAAAAAGTGTACTCTGATGTTTTTTATCCCATGGTGTTTAAAAACACTGTAGTCATGTTTTATTTTTATTTAATGTCTATAAATTAGTAAACTGTAAAATTATATTATTCTTCCAGTTTTGTAAAACATGCAATTCATTACCATTATTGATGTTTAAAAAGTGTTTTTGACAATCCCTGCATAAAATGTCATAAATACCTTGCTAAGTCAGTGTTAATTGGCAGTGTTTATAAAGTATGTGCATTATTTTACCACATTACCTTCAGTTTATTAAATTATATTTACTGTATTTACTATATGTAATATTTCTTTGATTCTGAGATACACTCTTTAATTTCAGTTAAACAGTTGGGGGGGGGGAGTTTAAAGAAAAGAAAGAAAATTTTAAAACTCATCTATCAAATATTTTTTTAATGCCTGACTTACAACATTCAACAATGTTACTGAATATGTTACTTTATTACAACAGTGTTATATCTATTTAAACTGATTCAGGATAATTTGTTATTCAGAATAATCTGAAACTTCAAAATTCCATTGATTCTACAATGCACTCCATTTTTTAATGACACTTTTATGGGAAATAAACAGTGGGCCTTTAAATTGAAGAAATATTATAATCATATCTTGTGAAATTATTAATATAATTGTGTATACAAAATGAATGCAAAAATTTGTTTTTGTAATTTCGTAATTTGAATAATGAGAATTTTAATGAATTATATTTGTGTTTTCCCAAACTGATTTCTTCTCTGAAATAATATATTTTCCATAGTTAAGACATAGGATGATTATCATCAATCTAACAATCAATAGTCTGGCATTAATTTCCATGAAAGTAGTTTTATTAATTTCCAGGTCATTGCATGGTTCCTTGGCATGCTTTTGCATCATCTTTTATCTACAGATTAATTCCAGTAAGCACAAAATATAAATACAGTATGTTATTTATAACAGATAACTGGAATTCTAGAAAGATTTGGCAATATGTATCTGCAAAAGTTATGTAATTTGTACAACATTGATTTATTTAGTTTATGATATAAAGATACAAGCCAGGATTTCCATCTGAGAAAATGTTGGAAAGTCAGGGAAATGAAAAATTGTGTGCAAATGATGGCGAAAATATAAACTAAGCCACCAGAAATCTGGAACTTTTTACAGTATTTAAAAAAAAGTTCTTTTCAAACAAAAAAGGGTTCATCTTTCAATAAGCAACTTATAAACAGAAACTGTATGTCTCAAAATGAAAGTAGACAAAGAGTTACTGTGATCATTGTTTTTCTTGCTGAAAGTATTTTATACAATATATCCAGTCATTCTATAAGTGATGTAGTTTTTCCAACTGAACTAAAAGTCTGAGGGATAGGATAAACCACCTGCATCAAATTGCTATAAAAGCAGGTGGTAATTTTATCTAGTTCTTATTCTTAGTGCAAGTTTTGAAGAGTGCAGTGTGCTTTTAACAATTATTTTCTTCAAAACTAAATGGAAGTCACAAATGGGCATATTTTTCTTTACGAGTTCTAAATAATTATTAATCGGAATATATTAGATTGATCAATAAATGTAAGCTAATGGTAGTTCAAAAACTTGAAGCCAGAAACTACAGCCTAGAAGACAAGCCTATTCCTGGAAGATCTGTAGAGCTGAAAAAGGATATCCTGCAAAACTACTGCAGAGAAAAATACTGCAGAGAAAAATTTCTCATGTTCTTTGCTGATAGTAATTCCAAATTAAGGATGTCTTTGAAATTATTAGTGAATAATAATGAACAAAAGAAAAAGGCAAATTTTAAGGTTCTGATAAATGGTTAAAGCTATGTCAAAGTGATGATGATGAACCAGAAAAGCCACAAAGAAAATGTTTTAGTCAAAGCTCAGGGTGTAATTACACTGAAAGTTGGCTTCAGTATTACAAACATAAAAATGTAGTGAAACATATTCAGTCATTGAGAAAGTAAGTTGCTAAATTAGGTGATGCTACTTTAGCTTCAGCTACAAAAATGAAGTCCTGGACAAGTTGCAATACAATACAAGCATTTTTCTGAAATTTGTTGCATGAAAAGAACTCTTAATTGCTGAAAATGCAGATTCACCAGTAGACTGTAAAGCATAAAAAGGCAGTTTCACTGAGAGGGCTTGTCCAAGATGGTGATCATGACAGCTCCCTTCAAGAGTTGAAGCCATGAAGTCCCTCGTAGATCAACAGAATTATTTTTGGTTTCTATTTTACATGGGTTGCATTAAATTTTTTTTCGATTTTCATATAATTTTCTTTTTCTTTTTTATTTATCAGCATATACTAATTTGTAGGACATTTCAAAGTAAGATGAAATGTTTAATTATTAAGGACGTAACCATTAATAATCTAGCAAAATTGCATACCAACATCCACCAGACCCTGATGTTGCTGAAATAGGGGTGGTTGACCTATATTTTCAAATACTTAACATAATTATAAATTTTTGTTAATTGTTACTATTTTTTTTTTTATTTTTATTTTAGGTATAATATTTGTAATATCAATTATGAAGTAGTCATTAAAGAGGAACCATGTCTCTAAATTGGCATATTTTAGCTAATGGGCTTGTAAAAATAGTTCTTCAAATGAAAAGACTTGAGAAAAGTGATCATCTTTAGGTGTACTTAAGTATGAAGTTATTTCTAAATTTATTATTATTAGCAACACTCAGAAAAAGTTTTAAAAGTAAAAGGTATGCAAAGCTGAAAGTGTGAAAAAGATGAGTCTTAGCAAGATGAGCGATTGATTTTCTTTATACTGTTATAGTTACTTGAGCTTCATGTGAAATGCATAAAGTATTTTTAAAACCAGTTGTAAGAAGTATTCATAATTTCATTATTTAAATGCTAAGAAAAAGTAACTATTGTCAAAGTTTACAGACCCCTCTCTTTGCCTTTATAATTTTCCTTATATTTTCCAGAAAAGATATATTATTAGCATAAAAGTAAATTGTTTCATTTTGAAGTGAGAAAATTTTTTAATCTCAGTTCTTGCTTTAATTTTATTCTATGTTGGTAGTGTATCCATGTCTTGTTTCTGTGAAAAGTTCTGGAATTGTGGGTTGTTAATTGCTTTAATTATTGTATAAACATTGTTTGTTTACACAGCAAATATTAGCTTTTGCTCCTCTTCTGGCCCTTAAGTACCAGTAATTTTTAACCTTTTATCAGTTTGGGAAACACATTTATATCATATATGTAAATTGTCAAATGCATAGTTTTTTTAATCCAAAATCATAGTAGAGATTATATGCATGTGCGATATTTAATCATGAAATTATTGCTTTAATTCTAGAAGTTGGAATAATTTTTAAATCAAATAATTTTGTTACATTTCTCTCCCTCATCAAGTTCTTTTTCCATCATGACTCTTCTAGAATGCATAGAAACTATATTACATTCATCAAATAGAATTGAATTATAGCTCAATTTCTTCTAGATTGAATTTGGAACTGCTTGTATGTGGATTATTCTTAGCACCTGGATGATGTAGTTAATTTTCTTATTTATTATTGTCACTTTAAATTGAACTGAAGTATTAAGTGATTTCTGTGACAGATTTCATGATTTATGTGATTCCTTATTACTCTTTGTCTCATAAATTAATTCCTTACTGTTACTCAACTTTGATTTAATGTAATAAGTATATGTTAACAATATGTGAATTAATATATAGTTAAGTATACTTATTACATTAAAT